GCCAACCCTAAAACACCAACCCTTAAACACCGTCCCTTAAACACCAACCCTTAAAGGCCAAACCTTACACGCCAAACCCTTAAAGATCAACGAGCATACGCCAACCCTTTTAAACGCCAACCCTTAAACGCCAACCCTTAAACACCAACCCTTAAACGCCAACGCATGAAAGCAAAGGCTTAAACACCAACCCTTAAATGATTATGCTTAAGCGCCAACCCTTACAGGCCAAACCCTTAAAAGCCAATCATTAAACGCCAACCCTTAAACATCAAGCCTTGGAAACCAACCCTCAAATGCTAACCTAAACGCCAATTCTTAAACACCAACCCTCATACGGCAAACCTTAAACGCCAACGCTTAAACGCCATCACTTAAACGCTTAAACGCCAACCCTTAAACACCAACCCTTAAACGCCAACGATTAAACGCCAACCATTAAATGCCAACTCTTAAACACCAACCTTTCAACACCAAGCCTTGAAAACCAACCCTCAAATGCTAACCTAAACGCCAACCCTTAAACACCAACCTTTAAACACCAACCCTTAAACGCCAACGCATAAACGCCAACCCTTAAACCCCAACCCTTAAAGGCCAAACTCCAGTCATGAAGAAGGATCCTCTTGTGGAGCCACTCAAAACCATCACCTTGCCCTACATTGCAGGGGTCACTAAATAGATATCCAAAATCCTGAATAAACACAAGATCCAGGTCCGATTCAACACAGTACAAAAAATCCGTGATCTAGTTCCATCTGTAAAAGATGCTGTTCCAGACATACAGTACCCGGGCGTTTACAAACTAAAGTGCCTCTGTGGTAGTAGCTACATTGGAGAAACCAAACGACATATCTTGGACCGCATCCGCGAACATAAAGCAGATTTGGAACACGGTAGAACGAACTACTCTGCCGTGGCATATCACTATTATAATTCAGTGGGCTCACATGACATTGACTTCTCCAAGACGGAGGTTCTTTGCAAACCAACGGGCTACCTTGAGAGATTCGTTCATGAGGCCATTCACATATACTAGCACAGAGACAATTTCAACTGAGAAGATGGATTCTGGCTTAAACCATTGGAAAGATGTTTTAAACCATTTCCGTTCTTAATTGTATTTTACGATGACCTTCAGACCGCAGCTCTTTCGCGGGCATTGTCTCTTAATACCTTCCCACACCATGGTTAATGGTATGGTTTACAACATGGAGTATAACAGCGCCTCGCAGCTGTCTCTCTCCCTCTCCTCTTTTCCGACCATGGATGAACTCGTCCGTCTGAACGGGGCCCATAGCTATCCGTGTTGCTAAAGTTGAGGGTAAGAATCCACCCATTTTTTCGCCATATAGCATTGTGATATATAACGACGTATTGTTGGTAGCTTAGCTGATTGGAGAATATATAGAGTTTATTGATAACATTGAGGTAATTTAGATTTTAGTTTTTTATTGGTTCACTATATAGTATTCATTATATATTGTAGTGTATACCCAGTTACTGTGAATAGCTCAGATGTATAGGCCTTGACTTCAACATAGCCATTTCTGTGACCAGTCACAAGCTAATCACTCCGCTATTTCATTGCTAAATTCTATGATAATTCCTTTGTAAAGGCGCTTTCTTTCTTCTCACACAGCTTAAAGGTCGCGATCTGAGCATGGCTTTTTCGCTCCAGCGCTGTCCTCCAGACAGTCTCGTCCCTTCACCTGATGAAGGCCGCTTGTGTTGTGGCCGAAACGTCGTGAGAATTTTATTGTGTTATTTTATTTTATCAATTTATTATTTTATTCTCATTCTACGTGACTTTACCGAAAGAACCAAAGAAGATGAATCCTTGCAGTCACGAAAGCTTTTAAATAGAAATTTAGCTTGTGACTGGTCACAGAAATGGCTATGTTGAAGACAAGGCCTACACATCTGAGCTATTCACAGTAACTGGGTATACACTACAATATATAATGAATATTACATAGTGAACCAATAAAAAACTAAAATATAAATTACCTCAATGTTATTCTTAGTTTTTTCGGTAAAGTCACGCCGAAGGGAAACAACAAAACAATAAAATATATATAAAACAATAAAAAAAATTCTCACGACGTTTCGACCATAACTCAAATGGTCGTCTCAGGTGTGTTGGTTTGCATAAATTTATTTTTAAACGAAGCATTTATTTATTTATTAAAAACGTTAGCGCCACGCGCAACGATTTGGCACTAACGTTTTTTATAAATAAATAAATGCGCCGTTTAAAAATAAATTTATGCAAACCAACACACCTGAAGACGACCGTTTGAGTTATGGTCGAAACGTCGTGAGAATTTTTTTTTTTTATTGTTTTTATATATATTTTATTGTTTTGTTGTTTCCCTTTGGCGTGACTTTACCGAAAAAACTAAGAATATGAATTACTGCAGTCACGAAAGCTTTAAATCAAAATTTACCTCAATGTTATCAATAAACTCCATATATTCTCCAATCAGCTAAGCTACCAACAATACGTCGTTATATATCACAATGCTATATGGCGAAAAAAAATGGGTGGATTCTTACCCTCAACTTTAGCAACACGGATAGCTACGGGCCCCGTTCAGACGGACGAGTTCATCCATGGTCAGAACAGAGGAGGGGGAGAGAGACAGCTGCGAGGCGCTGTTATACCCCATGTTGTAAACCATACCATTAACCGTGGTGTGAGAGGTTATTAGTAGCCTAGCGATAAAAACCAACAAGATCATCACAAGTTCGACCTCCCTAATCGACCCAACTAAACGTCCCTCCCTAAAATCTTCTGCTGCAAGACCCCCTAGATTCTATGGTCTTCCCAAGATTCATAAAGAAGGCACCCCACTGCGACCCATCGTATCCAAGATCAACTCCCCTACCTATAGACTAGCCCGTTTTCTGTCAGATACCTTGCTGCCTTTCACTGGCAAGACCGCCTCAGCAGTACTTAACTCAGCCCAATTGGTCTCTATGGTCAAAGACGTTGTACTGTCCCCTGACGATATCCTTGTCAGCTTCGATGTGGTATCTTTGTTCATCAAGGTCCCAGTACCTGATACCATTGAAATAATTGAAAATTTGGTCCAACATGGACTAGACCCCGACACACCTGCACTGGTTAGGCACTGCCTCAACAATACCTACTGTGCTTGAAATGGCTCCTTCTACAAATAAAATGAGGGTACCCCCATGGGATCCCCCTTATCACCAGTGATAGCCAATATTTTCATGGAGAAATTTGAATCAGATGCCATCCAGACTTCCATCCTCAGACCTTCCCTGTGGAAGAGATATGTGGATGACACTTTCGTCATTTGGCCACATGGCCTTCCAGCTCTGAACCTTTTCCTACACCACATCAATTCCAGACATCCCGTCATCAAATTCACCATGGAAGTGGAGAAAGATGGCAAGCTACCATTCTTAGATGTTCTGTTTGGGAGGAGACCTGATGGCTCATTGGGGCATTCTGTCTACAGGAAACCCACCCACACAGATTCCTACTTGAAACCTGATTCCCACCACCACCCAGCCCAAAAGAATTATCTCATCAAAACTTTATACCATAGGGCTCATTGCATTTCAGACCAACACCACCTGACCAGTGAATTAAAACATGTACACCTGGCCCTGAAAAGGACTGGTTACTCTGACCGTACCATCGCCAAGCTGTTTCTCCCTCCATACAGAAACAACCACTTGATACTCCGGTTAAAAACCATCACACTACTATATATAGCAGGCGTTACTAAAAAGATTTCCAAAATTCTAAACAAACACAAGATCCAGGTCCGGTTCAATACAGTACACAAAATTCGTGATCTGATCCCATCCGTGAAGGATGTCATTCCTGACTTACAGTACCCCGGGGTTTACAAATTGAGTTGTACCTGCGGTGATTGCTATATCGGGGAGACAAAGCGACATGTCTCTGACCGAATTCGCGAGCACAAATCAGATTTTAAACACGGCAAAACGAATTCTTATGCCGTGGCTGATCACTGTTACAACGCTGTGGGTGATCACGATATAATTTTGTCCGATACCAAGGTTCTTTGCAAACCCACGGGTTTTTATCAGAGATTTGTTCACGAGGCAATTCAGATCTATAAACACAGACACAATTTCCACCGAGAAGATGGTTTCAAATTAAGCAACCATTTGAAAGATGTTCTAAATCGAACTAAACATTAAACTAATTTCAATGGTACAGAATATTTTTTCAAGTAGTGGTACCCCAAACTTTCGCAGCTCTTATAAATTCCCTTTTCACACCATCAATAGGTAATCTCCCCCTCCTCCCCCCCCCCCGAGCCAAACGGCAAAAAACACACGACGTTTTGATTGCAAACACAAGCGGTCTTCATCAGGCGGAGAGAAAAATGATGAAGACCGCTTGTGTTGCAATCAAAACGTCGTGTGTTTTTTTTTGCTTTTATTTTATTTTTTATTTTCTATCTACGTGACTTTACCGAAAGAACCAAGAATATGGATTCCTGCAGTCACGAAAGGTTTAAGTCAAAATTTAACTTTGTCAACGTCTAACTTTTCAATGTGTGGATCTGGTTTCTTATTGGAAAGGATGGTTGAACTGGAAATAAAGTCATCTTTACATTTAGTTGACAATGTAGCGGCAGATGAAGCGGTCATGTTATTACATGTTCACAATCAGATTTAGACATTTTTTTCATCAATGTTAAGTGTGATTTCAAGAGTGTCTTATCTACATGGTCTAAATTTTGATTTAAAGCTTTCGTGACTGCAGGGATTCATATTCTTGGTTCTTTCGGTAAAGTCACGTAGAAGGGAAACACCGACTTATGCTGCCGTCACATCTTCCAATGTCATACTAATTTTGTTCAGAGCTAGCTTAGCCTGATCTCAGAGAGAATAGACTGATCCGTACTGAACTAGACCATATATTTACTGAAAGAACCAAATATATTAATCTAAATACATTGTAATGACCCGGTCCTATCGATGAGATGAATGGGCGTGGCTTTGCCCAAATTTTAATTTTGCTGGGAGGGCAATTGGCATGAACCAATCATATATGATGTCACGCGCTTGTGCGCGTGAGCGGTGAAGTTACTTGACCACATGACGTCACTAGCAGGGTACACCTCCCCAAGCCGTCTCGCGCTGATGACGCGCGCGTAGTGACGTCAGAGACTGAGCGAGAGAGAAATCGGGGTGAGTGGTGTGGTGAGCAGTGGTTTTAGAGTTTACATTTATTTAGATTAACCTTAAATTCCTCTATTCTACAGAGTTCAACAACAACGTGAACATTGTGTACACTGTACCCTGTACGCGTGTATGTTCCAAAGGAACATTGCGTGTTTACTGTATACAGTATACACTGCGTACTTTACACTGCATGTACAATGTGTATATGTACATTACGTGTGTACACTGTACAACGTGTGTCCATTGCATGGACACTGTGTCTGCACTGTGCATAGCGCAGTGGTTAGCGCGCTGTGCTACAAACCCGGCCACCTGAGTTCGATTCTCGCTCATGGCCAACACCAGTGACAATTATCTGAACCGGTTCTTGGGCCTCTCCTTGGTCGACTCCGCCTCTAATGAGTACCTGGTGTATGTAAACATCACCACTGGGGAGACAAAGGCGGTCAAGCGTGGTGCTGGCTACCCACCCCCTCGTGAACTGTACCGGCCTTCATAGATACTAACATCACTTTTCCCCAACAATCTGTTAAGGCTTTGACTAACTTTTGTGACTGCAGGAATTCATATTCTTGGTTCTTTCGGTAAGTCACGTAGATAGAAAATAACAATACAATTTTAATTTCATTAAAGTAAATTTTATTAAAATAAAATAATAAATTTTAAATTTTATTTTCTTTTATTTGTATTTTCTTTCTACGTGACTATCGAAAGAACAAAGAATATGTAGTCTGTTAAGGCCATACAGGGGATCTTTTTGTGTGTCTACAGTGTGTGTGTACAGTGCGTGTATTGTGTGTGTACACTGTGAGGGTTGCTATTTATATTATGGGAGAGAGAGGATTTAGGATCCATTCAGGCTGGCCTGCCAACCATCCATCATGTGTTTAACCAGGCTGGGTTGTGTGAGGAGCTTACAAATCCTTGAAAGATCTGCACACATTCCCATCAGTGAGCTCCTCCAGCGGGCAAAGTTTGCTGGATCATGTAGTCTGCATGCCCAGCCACCGAATGCCCAAGCAGCCTCTGCTTGGTTGGATAGAGGGGGCTAAACGGGCATGATAGGGCTGAAAAAGAGATGAACTGATACGGTATAGTAGGATCTGGAGCTGAGTGGACTTGCCAAAGACTTTACCCAGCGGTGTCAAGATAGGCTTCTGTGGACGAGGCTCGTGAGGAATGCTGCAGGCCAGTTGGAGGCATTTGCCCCTGCAACGAGGTCGGAGGAGCGATGCCCACATTAATAGCCAGAGCACTGAGTGGCTAAAACACATTATTCTAGATTTAAAGCTTTCGTGACTGCTAGGATCCATACTCTTTGGTTCTATTGGGTAAAGTCACCTACGTGACTTTACCCAATAGAACCAAAGAGTATAAAACACCGATTAAAGCTTTCGTGACTGCAATGATTAATCTTCTTTGGTTCTTTCCGGTAAAGTCACGTAGAATGATAATAAAATAATAAAATTGATAAAATAAAATAACACAATAATATAGTGTGTGTGTGTAATGATAATAATATATAATATATTATTTTATTATCATTCTACGTGACTTTACCGAAAGAAACAAAGAAGAAGAATCATTGCAGTCACGAAAGCTTTAAATCGGAAGTATAAAACACATGTTGCCACAGTGGGGAGCACAGGTGGTGCATCTGGCAGTCATCTTAGTCAATCATCCCTTAACACCTGTATAATTCCCATGACCTGCTGGAAGGTTTTCCACACTTATATGGCCTCAAATTGCGCCTATCCTGACAGCACTGTTATGATGTTGCTTCCAATTAGTGTTGAATGGTGGCTGTTTTGTTTATATAATCTGTTTATCCATGTGAAACATTTACATAAGAGCATATCTACATGGGGAACGAGGCGAAGTTGTTAGTCCACTGCATTATGTATCCAACAATCAGAGTTGGATTATTGCTAACAGTAGACATTGACAAGTGATATAACTTATTGTGATCCTCCACTGGGTTGATTGATCGTAATTTAATTGCTTGGTGAAATGAGCGTCAGTACTGAGCAGATACAGGCAGCTAAGCATGGTTCTGGCCACACCACCACCTTGTTCATCGTGCCAGTGTGGTAGATTCTAAAGTTTGCATTTGCTGTAAAGTATGTTGACTCTATTAAATACCAAGATTTAATGAAAGTGATAGGTTTTTTTCTTCCATCCAATGTTTTACAAGCATGGAACAGGATATGAACACAGCACATACACAGCTAAAGTAACAAGTGTCTATTCGAGCATTCAAGCAAATCTGATCCTGGCTTTGGACCTCCAATTTGCAATTGAACATTACTTTGTCCATTTTGCTACATTATTTTCCCATTACAAATTGTTTTATTTTTAACAGCCTTTATTTTTAGCAGAAATTTTCTCAAGTCAACATTTCTTCAGTATCCAGACGCAACCGAAATTGTGTACATTGAGTTATGGATTAGCATTGATATTGAAGATACAGGGACCTCCAGGCATAATGCTGACCACTTGCACTCACATTGTCTGTCGTGCCAGGACAATAGGTGATTGTCAATAGCATATCGAGCCTTAAATGAGCTTGTATGATGTATTGGGGATGATTTTTGCTTTATTTCTTGTGAATGCTTGAGTATAGATGTGTATGTCATAGGTGAATGTCATGTGTAACTGTATATATGGGTATACCTGTGTGCATCTATGCTCACATACATCGTGTGGATATTGCTGTGTTCTGTCTGCAGCTCCCAGTTCCTCTGCCACTTTGCTCTGCAGAATCAGTCAAATGGAGCCAAGACACTCAGCCCAACTTGGTACTAAAATACACCAGTGCGACCAGTGCCCATACAGCACGGATCACACTGGAAGCTTGAGGCAGCACCATAGAACACACACAGGAGAGAAACCATTCAAGTGCACTGTGTGTGGGAAGGCGTTTGCACTGTCATCAGATCTTCACAGACACCAGAGAACACACACAGGTGAGAAACCCTTCAAGTGCACTCTGTGTGCAAAGGCGTTTGCACGGTCATCAGATCTTCAAAGGCACCTGAGAATACACACAGGAGAGAAACCCTTCAAGTGCAGTGTGTGTGAGAAGGCATTTGCACGGTCATCAGATCTTCCGATCCACCAGAGAACACACACAGGAGAGAAACCCTTTAAGTGTGCTGTTTGTGGGAAGGCGTTTGCACTGTCATCAGATATTCACAGACACCAGAGAACACACACAGGAGAGAAACCCTTCAAGTGCGCTGTGTGTGGGAAGGCGTTTGCACTGTCATCAGATCTTCACAGACACCAGAGAACACACACAGGAGAGAAACCCTTCAAGTGCACTCTGTGTGGAAAGGCGTTTGCACGGTCATCAGTTCTTCACAACCACCGGAATATACACACAGGAAAGAAACCCTTCCAGTGCACTGTGTGTGGGAAGGCGTTTCGACAGTTAGGGATTCGAAACAGGCATCAAAAGATTCACAAGGATATTAATCTGAAATCGACGTGTGAAAGTCAAAGTGCTGGAATGAGCTCATACCTCATAAAACAAGAATCAGAAAAACATTCCAAATATGAAACGTGGCCAGGATTGAAGGTGAAATGTCAAGAAGCGAGAATAAAATATCAAGAAGTGAATGCGAAGAGTGAAGAAGTGAAGCTGAAATGTGAAGAAGTGATGGTGAAGAGTGAAGAAGTGAATGTGAAATGTGAACATGTCAATTCAACTCCAAAATCCGACCACATCAATGGAAGCAGTGTGAAGCAGGAGGAGAATTCTGACTCTGAGGCAGAGCGAGGCCACCATCAGCAGTTTGTGGATGTGGAGGTGTGGGTGGAATTTTCAGGCAATACAGAATCAAATGGAGACCAGATAGATGTGTCACCTCGAGCTTGAGACAAATAAGCTCCATTTCATCCACATTATTCACAGGTCTTTCTTATTACAAATGTGTGGAGTTGAAGATTTTACTCCAAGGTTTCACTTCCAAGTTGTCGATGGAGGCAGCATGAAGCTGGATAGGTTGGACTCTTGAGGAAGAGTAAAATGAACCCAAGCAGGTTGTGGATGTTGATGATGTGGACTCTTTGGACAATGCAGCATACGAGCAGCCAGCATGTGTGGACCTGCAGGTTGGGTAGATCTATATACAGGAGCACGAGACAAAAAAACCTCCATAGCATTCACCTTTTATCATAATCTTGACATTTATATGGTGCTGACATAAATGTATGCATATTTGACTTATTTCGCACTTTACATATCCAACAGTGCATATGGGCTAGAGACTGCCAGTAGGGTGGGGAGATGATTAATGATTATTATCTAATCCCATTTGGGTTATTTGTGGCTAATTTTTCTAATTTGGCAAAATTTTGACCCTGAAGCCAAAAAATGTTAAACATCCACTGTAAAGCAGATGGCACATTTTTGATTAATATTGCTGCAATAATCATGAGGACTGCCTGACAGATTTGAACTGTGAACCTCTTCAACAAAGATCAAACGTGCTACCATTTGGCTTCTCTCATTCTGAGTGCATGCAGGTGTAGGCATCATGCAGTCAAAAATCTATTTGCAGTGAACACTATGTAATGTGATTACAGTAAATCAATATTGTCGCTATGTCTTTTGATTACTTGGAGTTATAATTTGATGAACACTTATTTTCAAAATGTTAAGATGTCCAGCAAAAACTCTGTTATCTCACATCCATGGGAAATGCATAGTGCTGGTTAATCAATATGCCGGTTATTTGAGAGTTATACTTATGGTTCATCAAATTTTCCAAGTACATGACATTTTTCAAGAAATAAACTAACCATACCTTTTAACTATGATATAAGAAATACTCTACTCTTTTACCGAGGTACTCACCAGTCAGTTGTAGAGCATTCCAAGTTGATTGTCGAGAAGCAGTGGGGCCTTTTATGGTACATTATACATTAGTACAGTACTGTATATACAGTACATGAAGCAATTAGGTTGGGCAGCACACAACGTGATCAGAATGGCAGATGTCTGCAATTGTGACTCTGCTAGCACCACCACTCGCATGATAAAGTGACATATGTGGACCTTTATGGCAGAAAAATCTAATGCATGTCTCTAAATGTGGAGGGAAAAACCGGAGAACCCAGAGAAAAATCCATACTACCACGAAGAGAGCGATACATGCAAACTCCAAATATACATTAGGCGTCAGGGTCGAGATCAAACCCACCACCACCTGCACACCAGGAGAGGAAGTTAACATCTCGCGACTGCGGCACATTTAGTTGTGCTTTTTTGGCGTGTTAATAAAGTGGTTCTGTTATTTCATAGTAGTGTAATATATAGTGGTGTAGTGTTATAGTCGTAGTTGTAACGGTGTGGGTGTGGACGAGCAATTTCTAGCCCGGGTGAGCCGAGGTGACTGAGGTTACATGAGGTAAGGGGGGGGTGAGCAGTTATGGGGGAAATAATTTTCTAAAACCCTCAAGCAACGACGCCACTAAGTCTGGCTTTGACTGGGGGCAGGACTTGAATTAGCCAGTCCGGGCAGGCCAGTTTGCGTGGGGTGAGAGTCGATGGGGCTATATGTGATTGAAGGATAGTGTTGCCAAGAAAATCAGGTTTAATATAACGAATTTACGAGGTTCTGATTGGAGGACGCTGTACCTGCCAAATTGATTCACATGGCCTGAGGGGCAAGAGATAGAGGTAGGCGACCTAGCAAGAGGCAGCCGATTGCCTACGAGGGAGGGTAGAGAGAGAGATGCTGTGAAGGTGGGATATAATTTTAGGTGAACGCTACGCGTGTACAGGAGACGGTGTTTGTCGGGGCCTGGGGGGGGGGGCTCCCGGGGCAAGGGTGGTCTGCGTTCGCTAGGTCCAGGGGGGCTCCCAAGGTGGGGGGGCTCCCAAGGTGGGGGGTCAGTTGCTCGGGGACGCTGATGTATGATGAGTCATTGTGAGCGCTGTTGCAGTTGTGTGGACTGGCTGGTGCGCGGTGCTTCTGGTGAGTGGAGTCACTGCTTTCAGTGCTACGGGGAGGGCCGAGTTGGTGCCTTGGTCGGCTGTTGAGCTGAGTTGCTCTGAACGCTATAGTGAGTGCAAGCCGGGAACCGAGACTGCCGTTACGTTGAGTCGCTCAGAGCACTGTTTGGAAGCTCCACAACAAATTCCCCAGACTACAACTGTGTCAAGTTGTTCAAAGCGCTGTTGATAGCTCAAACCAAGTCCATAAACTACAACTGCATTGAATTGCTCAGAGTGCTGTTGAAGATGCCAGCCAAGTTCTGAGTGGATCGTGCATGAGGGTTGGTATGACCAGTCGTCGCGTTATTCTGTATGGTTTTTTTTGCCACGGTGTTCTGTTTTTGTGGACGTGCAGGGGAGCTATGCAGATGTGTGCTGTTTTGAGAGTTGGTTATACTCAGTGTTTTGTAATTGTAGATGCGAGGGGACGCTGTGCTGATGTGTGCTGTTAATGTTTACCGAGAGTTTTGAGAGTTTGTCCTCGTTGGTCTGTTTTTGACGTGCGGTGACGCTGTGTAGATGTGTAAAATTTTTAACAGTTGGTTGTACTTGGTTGTTGAGAAATGATCTGCCACAGTTGGTTTGTGTCCTTGTGCATAGTGCGTCAATAGTGCATAATGAACCAAGGCACAGTTAATAAATTATAAATGTTAAGATTCTCTATTCCGGATCTAGTTATTTGTCTATCTTTCTGTCGCCGTCAAAGCACGTTTAAAAGTCCGCATTGGTGACCTATAATATTGAGGAAATTGCATGGGGGAGAAAATAGAGCCGAGCTCCTTTCTCTCCCTTATATATTAGTGTATAGTAGGTTATTATAGTATATAGTAGTGTATAGTGTAGTATACAGTGAGGGAAAAAAGTATTTGATCCCCTGCTGATTTTGTACGTTTGCCCACTGACAAAGAAATGATCAGTCTATAATTTTAATGGTAGGTTTATTTGAACAGTGAGACAGAATAACAACAACAAAAATCCAGATAAACGCATGTGAAAGATGTTACAAATTGATTTGCATTTTAATGAGGGAAATAAGTATTTGACCCCTCTGCAAAACATGACTTAGTACTTGGTGGCAAAACCCTTGTTGGCAATCACAGAGGTCAGACGTTTCTTGTAGTTGGCCACCGGGTTTGCACATCTCAGGAGGGATTTTGTCCCACTTCTCTTTGCAGGTCTTCTCCAAGTCATTCAGGTTTCGAGGCTGACGTTTGGCAACTCGAACCTTCAGCTCCCTCCACAGATTTTCTATGGGATTAAGGTCTAGAGACTGGCTAGGCCACTCCAGGACCTTAATGTGATTCTTCTTGAGCCACTCCTTTGTTGCCTTGGCCGTGTGTTTTGGGTCATTGTCATGCTGGAATACCCATCCACGACCCATTTTCAATGCCCTGGCTGAGGGAAGGAGGTTCTCACCCAAGATTTGATGGTACATGGCCCTGTCCATCGTCCCTTTGATGCGGTGAAGTTGTCCTGTCCCCTTAGCAGAAAAACACCCCCAAAGCATAATGTTTCCACCTCCATGTTTGATGGTGGGGATGGTGTTCTTGGGGTCATAGGCAGCATTCCTTCTCAAAACACTTTCACCCAGTTGTCCTCTAAATTATTCAGATGTTAATTGGCAAATTTCAGACGGGCATGTATATGTGCTTTTTTGAGCAGGGGGACCTTGCGGGCGCTGCAGGATTTCAGTCCTTCACGGCGTAGTGTGTTACCAATTGTTTTCTTGGTGACTATGGTCCCAGCTGCCTTGAGATCATTGACAAGATCCTCCCGTGTAGTTCTGGGCTAATTCCTCACCGTTCTTATGATCATTGCAACTCCACGAGGTGAGATCTTGCATGGAGCCCCAGGCCGAGGGAGATTGACAGTTCTTTTGTGTTTTTTTCCATTTGCGAATAATCGCACCAACTGTTGTCACCTCACCAAGCTGCTTGGCAATGGTCTTATAGCCCATTCCAGCCTTGTGTAGGTCTACAATCTTGTCCCTGACATCCTTGGAGAGCTCTTTGGTCTTGGCCATGGTGGAGAGTTTGGAATCTGATTGCTTCTGTGGACAGGTTTCTTTTATATAGGTAACAAGCTGAGATTAGGAGCACTCCCTTTAAAAGTGTGCTCCTAATCTCAGCTCGTTATCTGTATAAAAGACACCTGGGAGCCAGAAATCTTTCTGATTGAGAGGGGGTCAAATACTTATTTCCCTCATTAAAATGCAAATCAATTTATAACATTTTTGACATGCGTTTTTCTGGCTTTTTTGTTATTCTGTCTCTCACTGTTCAAATAAACCTACCATTAAAATTATAGACTGATCATTTCTTTGTCAGTGGGCAAACGTACAAAATCAGCAGGGGATCAAATACTTTTTTCCCTCACTGTATAGCGTACTGTATAGTAGTGTGGGGTACTGTACATTCAAGGGTTATAGTGGGGTCAGTGGAGATGGGTGAAAACAGGTGCAGGGTACTGATCGTGGGAAGGTTCAAGAAGGGAAGTAGAAGATGGTAAAGTCTGCTGGAATCTACCAGGGGAAAGTGCTGGAAGTTACCAGGGCATAGCCGAGTGGTTATATTATAAGGGGGAGCGAGGCCTGCGATCAGGGCACTGGCTTGGGGACTGAAGGATGACTCCAGGTGGATGACATCGGGGCCGACTGTTGGACATAGGCATTGTGGAAATCATCGGGCCAACTTTTCGAGATCGACTTGGTGGAAACCATCAAGAAAGACTGTTCGAGATTAATCGAGTGGGAACCACCACGGCTGCAGATAGGCATAGCCTTGTGAACGTGTTAGTCATACTTTCGACTTGTAAATACGTTACTGTAAAATAAATCGTCTAGAAAATGGAGCCTGCGAAGGAGCTTCTTTACAGTAGTGTAGTGTATATGAAATAAAGATTTTGCTATTAGCCAAGTTTAGTCTCCGTATTTCTGATAAGGGGTGAGTGCCGGCGAAAGGGAACAATTTGCGTCTGGGGGGGTCGGCAATCTTTCAAAGAAGAAAGCCATTTTTTTCGTAATTTGACCAAAATATGTGTATCACTCCACTACTAGATGAGATCCTACACCACCTGACGAGTTACTAGGCCATACTTCGCCTGTGGTGTGAAGGTCAGGGAACAGCATAGATGTGGGTTTCATAGAAGTACAGTATAATGATTGGTTTTTCTGCACTGCCCTCTGCTGCACAGTAAGCGGGGGCGACTTTAGCCGATAGCACCTGTTATGCATAACAATGATGCCAGATTAGGGATCGGCAAGCTTTCGAAGAAGAAGAGCCATTTAAAAAATATATTTTTTCCAAAATAGTTCAAAAGCCGCATCACACCGCAGAGCTACTTAAACACAAACACGGTCTCCTTCACTCTTACCCTTTTTATTCACCTCCACCACCACTATCGTTTTGTTTTATAATTTTAATTATGTTTGCAACGCCCATTGTTTCATTTGCTTTGGAGGCGCCTGCCCCCCGTGCTCACCGGGCCTCCTCTTGGTGGCCTGGCTGCCAGTGGTCGCTCGTCGGGCAGCTCCCTTGCTCACATCAGGTGGCTCCCTCGCCATCCCATGCGATATCTGAGCTGCTGTCTTGCCCGCGTCGGGCGGATCCCTCCTTGGGACTGCACGGCACCCGGAGCTTCGGCTGGCACAGTGGCTATGAGATATTAACTACCTTGCCTGGTATGCAGTTTGCGGTGTCTCTCCGTGGTCACGTACATTTTTGTCCAGATCCTCCAGTGTTTTCCTACATATTTAGAATCAACATCATGCGTTGAGAGTATTTACCTGCTATAAATATGTAGTGGTGGGGGCGAGCAGCTGCAAGCATCAAGACATAGAGTAGCCGCCAGATAGGCGCCAGCAATTAGGGGGAGAAGCAATAATTAACCGGGTGCATTGGGGACAAGCAGGTGCGAGCATGGGAACACGGTGTAGATGCAGGAGAGGCGGGAGATGG